AGTAGTAGTAGTAGTAGAAGTAGAAGTAGAAGTAGAAGTAGAAGTAGAAGTAGAAGTAGAAGTAGAAGTAGAAGTAGAAGTAGAAGTAGCAGAAGTAGTAGTAGTAGTAGTAGTAGTAGTTGTTGTTGTTACCTTGTAGTAGTAGTAGTAGTAGTAGTAGTAGTTGTTGTTGTTGTTGTTGTTGTTGTTGTGATTGTTGTTGTTGTTGTTGTGGTTGTGGCCGTGGTCTTGGTTGTTGTGTACCCACAGACACCTGTGTATGAACAATTTCGGTTTCGTCATGGTCATAGAAGTAGTACTGGTGGTGGTGGTAGTCGTAGCAGCAGGATGAGGGGGTGGAGCAGGAGGTCGGAGGAGGAGACGTGGCAGCACCAGCAGCCGTCGTCGTCGTGATCGCGCTCGTTCTCAGAGTCGTCGTCCCCAAGCGAGTGCTAATAGTAGTCCTTGTAGTCGTAGAATTCCTAGTCGTCGTTGTAATGAAAATTCTAATTAACAGCAGGAATAGCTATAAGCAGAAAAATAACACTAATGACAACAATACGGATAGAAATCATACTCTTGATAACCATGTTGATAGCACTACAAAAACAATAATTGTAATAGTAATGATAATCATAAGAATATTTTAAGGCTAATGAATGACAAGTCATACGCAATAAGCAACAATAATCTTAATACCAATAATACTAGCAATCGCATGTATAATAGTAGTAGGAAGAATCAGGTTAGCAGGCTTTGACCGACAACATTGCTAGTAGTAAGACTAGTATGTAATAGTTATGAGAACTGTAGCACTAGCACGAGCACCATCTGCAGCACCAGCATCAGCACCAAGTCCTGGTCTTAGTCCTCGTCTCAGCCATAGTTCCGGCCCGGTTCTCTAAACCCGGGGTTTAGGGCTTCAGTTTGGGGATTTAGGGTTTAGGGTTTAGGATATAGTGAACCCAAGAAAGTTGGAACATGGATTTAGGATGATTAGTGCTAGGATTCCTTGTGGTTTACCTTAAAGTTATGCAGGTTATCATCTTCCAACTTTCTGGCTTCTACCATGTATGAAGGCAAAAACAGAAACGGAATCCTTAGCGGTCTTCCGTGGAATGCGCAGCCTGTGGAGGAATCAGCCCATATCGGGGATTCCAAACCTTGCTGTCTCATGGCTCAGGTCTAGGGTTATCTACCTACCTATCTACCTATCTATCTACCTACCTGCTGTCCTATCTATCTACCTATCTAACTATCTATCTACCTATCTATCCATCTATCTATTTGTCTATTTCTCTATCTACCTATCTACCTATCTACCTATCTATCTGTACAGACGTAGGTATGATATGATATGATATGACATGACATGACATGACATGATCTGATGTGTTGTGATACGATATGATATGACTTGGTATGATGTGATCCGATATGGCATGATATGATAGTGCGTGCTATGATACGAAACGTTGACATGGCATGATATGATATGACATGGTATGTTATGATACGACGACCTGATGTGATACGATCTGAAAGGAAATGATATGTTATGATGCGACCTATTATGGTAGATACGGAGAAAGAGATAGACATATTCAACATAGATATAGATGTACATCTATAGATGCAGATATGACATGCAGATATGGGATTTGTAATCTAGATATTCATCTAACCTAAACCCAAAGCCCTGAACCCCTAACATAAGAAACTTGGAGAACTCCACGAGTCCTGAGAGCCCGGCGGGCGAATGCGCCGTTCAGCTGCGGCGCCAAGGCCTGGCCCTCAGAGCTGCGAGGGCTGAAAGGCACTTCATAGGGGCCTTTCTAGGAAGTTTTATTGTCATTTAGGGTTTAGGGTTTAGGGTTTAGGTTCAGGGTTTAGGATTTAGGGTTCAGGGTTTAGGGTTTAGGCTTTAGGGTTTAGGGGTTTGCTAGGAAGCTATATTGTTCGATGGGTTTCACACCGTTTTTCTATATGGCTTTCTGGGATGTTCCAGGATTTGCTGGAACTTCATAATATTGTACGCGCTCCTATCGGGTTTCAGCGCCTGGTAGCAGTGTCCACCGTGTGTTGGGGCAAGGGTCCGTATAAGGGCGCAGGGTTCAGGAGCTCAGGGTTTGGGAGTCTAGAATTTGACTCCACCCATACATGCATGTGATAAGGGGTTTAAGTTTGGGTTTAAAAAGGGGCTACGTGCATGTAATAAGGGGTTTAGATTTTGTGTTTAGGGGTTAAGGTTTAAGGGTTGACCGGTTCGTTCGCGGTATGCGGGGTGGGCTCCGGGCTCAGGGTCTTTGGGGCTTTGGGATTCTCTGGGTGTTTACCTACAACATCAGCTGTAGTTCCGTACCTGGCTGCCTTGCTTTAGCATCCACACGTTTTGTTTAAATAACCAACAAAATCAAACATGTTGGAGGGGCCATTGGCCATTGGAGTGTGTTGGTGATGCGTGGGACGAGGATGAGGCGTACATATCATGACATGGTATAGTCCGTTAAGTTGTATTTTGATACAGCAGGATAGCGGCTAGGCGATCGTGGAATGGGGCATTAGATGGTTGAAAGTTCATGATGCTGATGATGATGGTGATGATGATGAAGATGAAGAACAGTAGCATTACGATGAAGAAGATGATGATGCTGATGCTGATGATGATGGCGAGGCTGTTGTTCTTGATGTTACAAAATGAGAATGATGCTGACAATACCTCGCAGGTGGAGGAGGATGATAAACGGCAAAGGCAGTGGTGGTAGTGCGGGTCATGAAGGTACTGGATACAATCAAACCCTTACCACAAAGACAATTTCTGCACTGATGATGACAGGACCCCTGCGGAGCTTTTGATGAAGTTCTCAGCCCTGCGCAGGATCTAGCTCCATCAGCATGCGAGAGGCACCCTGCGCCCAGTACACGGACCTGCAGCATGGCCCCGGCCCGCAAAGTGCGGCTTCCGATTTCAGGAGGGTTCTCTTACATTCAGCAGTCTGCAAGACAAACCCTAAACCCTAAATAACCCCTAGAGGTCACGGCATCAGACTTGGAAGCATTTCGCACATCGGCGAAAGCAAGCCGCTACCCCGCGAACCTCAAGATCGACGCTATTGTGAAGCTTGTATGACTCAAAACAGTGGTATCCAGCCAGCAGAAACCCCAGACGCTCAATCCTAGCGGTGTTGCTCTTCGGCCGACGGGCTCTGGAGTCTGTAATGTTCTTTGGAACAGAAAATATACAGATAACCACAAAAACAGGTAGGTACACTTCAGGGAAGTACTCGTACTGCAATTCTTTTCTATAGGGGCACCTGCTTTTGGTTTCTCTTTCCCACACCGCTCTGGTCAGTGACATAACTTGGACACATCTCGGGCCGCTACTAGGTGCAGCCATATTCGGGTACTCCTTCATTTCTCTGCACCATGGTCTAACACCATCAAAACACTAGAGAAGGTTGTTGAGCAGGTTGCCTGGCCGGGTTCATGGCAACCTTACACTGGAGTGTAGAATCCGATAAACCAGCCTACAATCCCACATGACGGCTTTAGTTGTTCATCATATAAAACTCAACTTTACGGCCTGAGGATGTACTGTACGGGGTTCAGGGATCGGGGTTTCAACGGCAATAGGATCAGAAAAGCGGCCGAACAGTTGTAGCTTTCATTTTGATTCTGTGGTTCCGCAGCTGCCGTGTAGGGCTTTTGGGGAGAAGTGGGATTCGGTGGATCTGGCTTGAGGCACTTATATCTTGGAGCATTGCTAGAGCTGCTAGGGGCTTCGAATTTTGCACGAAGCGCTCGTGAGGATTTAAGACTTGCACTACTACTGCTACTACTACTACTACTACTACTACTACTACTAGCAGCACGACTACTACTAATACTAATACTAATACTAATACTAATGCTAATGCTAGTACAATTACTAATACTGTAATACTGTTACTAATTACCAATACTGGTACGGATAATAACTGTAATCATCATAGTTCTGATTCCGACCTCTATAGCAGGGGTCTGGCTAAGCACCGTGCCCATGCTGCTGACCGCTCCCAGATGTGGCGACGACCTCGAACGCTAGACCCGGGGCAACGGGTTTTGGCGCTGGGCGAAACCCCAAACTCTCAACTCGAACCGGGCAGTGCTAAAATGTGAAGGAAGTTCTGAGAGTCGAGCCCCGTTGGCACATCCAAATACCCTGAATGCACTCTGAATACCATACAGACTAGATATGAAAGCCCGAACACTAGCTACATCCTAAACCCAGTCCGTAGGTGATGGTTCTTAACATGCCTTTTTTTACGGAGTTTTGTGAAAAAACCCTCAAAAGAAGAGCCCTACACATGTGGGTTTTCTGGGGTCCTGGTGGAGTTTAAGCTTCAGCTGCCGAGCTCCAAAGTTTGGTGGTCAGAAGCCATACGAAGCCTAAACCCTAAACCCTAAACCCCTGAACCCTAAACCCTAAACCGTCACCGAAGCCTTCATACTATTCCTTTACAGGTGGTTAAAGGATCTCTCCAGCGCTCCTTGTATTGCACTGCTATTGCACCCTTACAATACCCATAAGAGTAGTTCTCTAAATTAGGGTCCCTCTTTAGGTCCCCATTATATTATAGTACGGCACCCTTATAAAAAGGACCCCCAAAAGGACCCTAATTTGGAGAACTACCCATAAGAGTAACACTTCTTGCATAAGCCCAAGGAGTTCCATTAACGAAAACTGTCATTAGGAAATTAGGCTGCAGAAGGCCAAACTTATCATGGCTTTGGGGATCCAACTCCAGAACAATAGCCTTAGTTCGTATAGCTGGACTCTGTTGGTGAACCTAAACTTCTTGACTGGGTTGTAGTTTCGCGGCCCTTAGAAATATTTATGAGTAGGTACCTCTATAGAGACCCTAAGGGAAATGTTAAAGCTTCCCACATTGCCACCTACCTGTAGTCTCCATTGTAATTCCTTTTTGGGGATACCTCATAAAATCCTTGAAAAATACTTCGTTAAACCCAAAATAAGGAACTA